CTCTCCCTTTTTGCGTTAACTAAGCCGCGCGTTTACGCTCGCCTTTTCTTTTGTACACGTTGCGCTGCGGCCACGGTTGGTACCGGCAATTCCTCTCTCTCCGCAAACGTGCTGTCGCTTCCACGTTCGAACGGCGCGCGCCGGTTCGCTGTCGCCAATGTACTATACACAGCTCACAACAGAGCGAGTGCTTGCGCGACCTTAACCGCGTAGCGCGTGCGCAGTTCCGTTCGCTTCACTGTCAAACTATTGCGAGTTTGTTGCATTGCGATTAACATTGTTTATATCGACGCGTTTCGATACTATGTATTCCTTTGTTGCTGATTAAAATTTGTACGCCTCTACTTTTAATTCTATTCGAGTGCTTATTGTCCGCCGACTCCTCGTTCCTTGAATTGCGATTGTCTACGCGACTGTACACGCGCGAATTTCTCTCTTTGGCCGTCGCGCATCTTCACGCGTAGCCTACGACACTCTCCGCGGGCCAAGCTTTCTGACTGAAAAGGAGGCAACTGAGCTGCTGGACCCAGGACACTCGGTGCAGGAGCACCGTGCCGCTCTGGAGAGCAACCTAATTTATTTCCCGCGATTTAGATATTATATAACTGTTCCTGTCCAGACGAAGCTGAGCAGAAACCCTGTTATAATAGTAAAATACCAAATCATTTATTTATGCCATTGTTATAAACAATTTTTTCAAAAAATCGACGATATCTCAAAAAACGATTTTTTTTTTTTAATTTTTGCACCATCGTGTTCCTTGTCATTTTTTACACAAGAAACCGTTGAGAAAATCGAGGGCCCGCTATTAGGATTAAGATAGCATTAAAATGAAACGAACCACGCGCTAGCCGCTCGGCCGCTCGGCCGTCTGTTACTCGTGCGGTTCCAACGTTGCTTGCTGCAATTGCCTTTATCGAATAAATAATTTCATATTCTATGAGTCTATATGTATTTATTTAAATAATATGTAAATTAATTGATTAAATAAGTAATGTAAATGAACTATTTTTTTATACAATCTGATATAATATTTGATAAACATTTGCTCTCTGCGTTTGATCGGACTTGAGACCGGCGCATATTTACGAAGCGGTCGCATTGAAAATTTTTTTTATCGGACCTACACCATAATACTCTTAATAAGTTATTTACAAGTAATTTGTTTGTACCTATTTTCTACCATATATTTTTAAATATACATCATTCTCACGCCCGATCAAACGCACAGAGCAAATGTTTCATTCAATGTTGTTTCAGATTGTACAAAACAATAGTTCATTTATATTACTTATATTACTTTACTTATATTACATTATATTACGTTATGATAAGTAAATAAGTCATTAAATTTAATTTAAATTTAATTACTTATTTAATTAACTAATTTATATATTATTTAAATAAATACATATAGACTGATAGAATATGAAATTATTTATTCGTTAAAGGCATTTTCCGCAACCAACGTTGGAACCGCACGAGTAGCGGATAGCCGAGCGGCCGAGCGGCCAGCGCGCGGGTCATTTCATTTTAGTGCTGTCTCAATCCTAATAGCGGGCACTTGATTTTCTCAACGATTTCTTATGTAGAAAATAACATGGAACGCTATGGTGCAAAAATTAAAAAAAAACTATCGTTTATTCATATATCGTCGATTTTTTTAAATAATTGTTTATAACAATGGCATAAATAAATGATTTGGTATTTTACTATTTACATTTTAACAGTGAAACTCTTTTCGCATCTTTTAAAAAAAGAATCATGTCCATATCTTTATTAGTCTCCGAGAAATCGAATTAATAAAAAAAAGTCCAATATTTTTTCAACAGTTAATAAATTGGCCCCTTATCAATATTTTGATCTAAAACTTTGCACAGATGTTAACCTCTGTATAGGTAACAAGTCTACCAACTTTGAACAAAATTAGTGATTTGATGTTTTAAACTGTTTGAAATAGCTAAGAATTGCTCATAAGACAATTTATCACTGAAATACAGCCCTGTCATCCAATTTTGATGATTGTCACGGCAAGTTTTACACGCTGCGGTAGCGATGGTCGAGTTATAAGGCGCGTGTGGGTACTTGCAGGAATCTAGGCATCGAAGTTGGCAGTTATATTAATACTTTTTATTATAAAGTGACAGAGCTCCAGAGAGATGTCTTTACAAGGCGAGATAAGTCCCTACCACTTCCTTCAGGAATAAGTATATCCTGGAAACCGAGAGAGTCATATAGCTTAATTGTTTATTTAGGTTTGCAGCTGTCTATGTTCTATTTCATTTCTGGTCTATCATGTATTTACCGCGTACAGTTTGTTTGTTTCGGCCTATCTTATGTCTTCTACTTCAGTCGGTCCGCGTGTGCAACGAATACGCGTGTATGACATATGTTCTTAGCTACAGGAGATAACTATATTATTTTATTATTAGTTCGCATGACAGCCCGTTGAAAATTACTAAAAAATTTAGAAATATTTTTTGTTCCTTCAATTTATGCGAGAAGTGTATAAAAATTGGTTAACATTAGCATAGTTTTAATCGAATCTGGTCAGTCGGAAAAGACAGAAAACTGAAAATCTGAGTCAAGGACTCGTTTGCTCGCCGATCGATCTTACTCTTATTCCTACTTCAACTACAAAAACGTTTAGCCCACCTGAGAGTTATCCTACGGTCAGCGAGGTACTAAAAATCCTTATACATCAGACTGGCTTTCTATAAGAGTCTATATTCGTTACTCTTAGCTTCTAGATGATTATGATTATTTGTATTACAAAGCATCATTATCATTTCAACTTCCTCGTAAGCCATAAATATAATATGTATATTTAGATATCACATTATTGATACGCGCGTGGTTGAGATAGCACTTGGTGAAACCGCATCTATAAAGCCCATTCTCGATATAAATAACTATTAATTTACTTTCATTTGACTAGGTGTATATAAGTAATTTCACTGAAGAGTACTAAAATTAGGTTCCGGTTTTCAAATATTCAAATTACGGTTATGCTCTTAATTTAAAAATTTTAATATTTGACTCATCAGAATATATGGTATCTTAAATCTGTTGTCCGTGAATGTATAAAATTCACCTGAATAAATTTCAAAAAAGACATTTAATATTTTTTCAACCGATTTTAAGATTTGTTAGACTGAATAGAGAGTGACACGGATTAACCAATTAATGCCAACAGGATTCTTCGAGAGCTACGTTTGAATAGTTACCATGAAATGAATTCGAACAAAAAAAACTTAGGAATCACTATTCTATTTTCAAAATTATCAAAAAATTATAATATTGCAAATTCAATCTGAAAAAATTTGAGAATATTCCTTCTTTAATTTTAAGAAATTTTTATTGTCAGAAAAATTTTAGTAAAGAATGTAGTTTTCGAAAAAAAAAAATTCATTTCATTCGTTTCAAACCCAAACCCTACTAGAAATTTTTCCTAGACTTTTAACCAACACCACTGAAAAGAGTACTCTTGAAAACGTAGAGAACAGTGGTTTCTATATTGTTTTTGTTCGAATTCCTTGTGTAACAAAACTCAATCCTTTGTTACCAATTCTTTGCGGGGTAAGTGAGGCACTTTCGCTTATGACAATTGAGGGAGAAGAACGAAGGGAGGTTGATAAATAAATCATAGAAAGACAGGAATCAAATCTCACTTACAACCTATTATTATTAATAATTATTCACACTAAACATACGCGCGCATAACATAATCTAAATTACCGACCAACAAACTACAAATAGAACAATAAACTACTTAAGATAATCACAAATGAACATTTCGCCTTTTATCCTAATACCTAATCGCGTACTTAACCTATTACAAACTTACTTAAAAACTACGCGAACTAATACCGGGTAAATTGCCCGGCACGTGGGCGCCTGGACAATTCACCGGTCGCAACTTACATCACTATAAATTAAACTTAGCGCGAACCTTCAGATAGCCGGCACGTGAGTGCCAGGCTATCTCTTTCAACGCGCACCGGTCGTCAAATCAACAGAGAGAGAGAGTGTAGAGAGAAAGAAGAAAAGGAAGGCTTGACCTTTTATCTCCTGTTCCTCGCAACGTCGAGAATCCTGAGCGATGCGCTGCCGCAAGAAGTACTGGGCGTCGTCGCTGGTCAGATCGCTGGTAGCTGCTATCGCTGATCAGGTATCCGCAGGCGACGTTGACTCTCCTAGCAGGTGGGCTGGTTGCAGTGGCGGACAAAGCCGTTGCCGGTAGGGTTGATCTTCCAGCTATCCCAGACTGCACTCTCTGTACTCTAGCAGGGCTGGGCTTGGACTTCTGCACTCTAGTAGGACTAGGCTTCGACTCTCTCTCTCGCACTAATTCTTGCGCTCGTCTTGCAGCCGCTCAGCGGCGCTCGCTCCTCTCTCAACCTTGACCTATTAGTTAGGCGGCACGCGACGCGCCGCTTATCGGTCACGCGTTGCGCGCCTGCCAATCCCTGCATGGGCCTAATACTCTCTCTCTCTCTCTCTTTTTCTTATTCTCTCTCCGCGCTCCTCAACTTTTTCTTGCGCTCAACTGCGCTGGCTCGTCCTTGGCGCTGAAACAAAAAGGCCAAGTGTTAGGCGCATACTTTAATGCGCCTAACGTTGGCCAACACGCCTTGCCGAGTGGAGGAGGGAGAACGCAGACGAGAGACCGGCACATGACCTGCTCTCGTCACACTTGCATGGCAACTATTCAAATGTAGCCTCGAAAAAGTGTTTTGTTAGCGTTAATGAGTTAAAGTAATTTTATATTCTGTTTGTTTTATGAAACATACTATATAGTATATTTCATTCCTCATACACAAGCAACAGTAATATAAGTGTTTCATATTCGAAAGCATTACTAAGCCTGTAAATCAACATTCAGAAAAAAATTGTCCATGAATTAATAAAACATTTTATTGTCTAGCGTAATAAAGTTTTTTATTTGAAATCATTCTTTGAAAATGTTGAACTAATTTATTATAAATCTTACTTTTTAGTGGTTAATAAAGCAATCTATAAAAACACGTGAAGAAATGGCTCAGAATGTGCGTTTATTCGCAATAAATCAGTTTCGTACAAAATATAAATATACTCCATCAATGAGCAAAGTCATTGAGCACATTAAATTAATAAAGGTATTATCACAATTTACTATTCTTTGGCATTATGCGTAATGACGTTATTTATAATAATAATAATAATTATATATTTTAGAAAACTTATAACCCACGCCGATGTTTTAAACAAAAACAGATTATACTACAAGATGAATTTTCAATTGTTCGCAATACAATTCTTGAATACGGAGAAGTTTTACAAATTCCGCAAAGCGCGTTTAATTTATTGCAAGAAATGGAGTGTAATATCTCTTTGCAAGATACAGAAATCACAAAAGAGATAGTAGAACAAACAATTCAAGAAAAGGTAAAATTGATCTTTGCTTGACTATTTAGTTAAAAACTCCGTATTTAAAAATAATAGAATTAAATAAAACATATTTTTTCTGTATTCACAATATCAGTGATATTTTTCGTCTTTTTTCGCATTTACTTTAATGCACGAATATAGATTAGATCTGTTATTGCTTTATTACAATGCCTTATGACAATATTATTTATTAGTTAATAAATATGGAGTTACGTACACTGCCGGCCAAAAGTTTGGAAACAGTGTTGAAAAAATATGTATTCATGAATTAATTAGGAAATTTATTGATTCACTTGTTTGAAACATAGTATAACAACAAAAAATGTATATTTTACAACAAGAAAAAATATATCTAGACAACAAGAAAAAGTGTATCTAGACATAAAAAGAAAAATACAAAAGTCTATAAAGAAAAGGTATTAATATATCAGATTTTTTTTTCATCAAAAAATCCACCCTTGCTTTTGATGACTGCTCTCACCAACCGTGGCATTCTTTCGATAAGTTTGTCCAAAGTTTCCTGTTTCAGAGAAGCCCACGCCTCTCTTAGCTTCTCCCATAAGTCTCCAGCGGATGTTGGACAACATGTTCTTATTTTTCGATCGAGATCTTCCCACAGAAGTTCGATCGGGTTGAGGTCTGGCGATTGCGGCGGCCATGTCATATTTTCCAAGACACCATCAGCTTTTTTTTGCTCTAAATAACTGCGGCAGAGGATCGACGTATGTTTTGGGTCGTTGTCTTGCTGGAAGACAAAACCACGGCCGGGTCCTCTTAATCCAGAGGGAATCGCATGACGAACGAGAATATTTTTATATTGCTCTTTTCTCATTATTCCATCAATTTTCACTAAATCTCCGGTTCCATGGCCAGAAAAACATCCCCACACCATCACTGAGCCACCTCCATGCTTCACAGTAGGCACTATACACTGAGGTGTCATTTTTTCGGACGCACTTCTTCTCACATAAATTCTACATCGAGAGCCAAATATTTCATACTTGGATTCGTCACTCCAGAGCACATTTTTCCATTGATCCATCGTCCAGTTTCGATGCCTTTTAGCCCATTGTAGTCTTTTCTTTTTATTCTCTTTACGTAGTAATGGTTTTTTCACTGCAACACATCCTTTGAGTCCGGCAGCGTTTAATCTTCTTTTTACAGTTGTTAGTGAAACCGGTTTTTCACGACTTCTGTTGATGTCTGCGCATATTTCGGGAGCTGTTAACCGTCTATTCCGTTTACTGGTAACCACTATATGCTTACCTTCGCGAGAAGTAGTTACTTTTGGACGTCCGGTTCGAGGACGATCGTGATGATTACCCGTGTCTTCAAATCTTTTGATCGTTGAATGCACACCTTTCAATGAAATTTTCAATTTTTTGGCAATTTCACGATATGAGATACCTTCATTATGTAATGCCAATACAGCTCCCCTTTTTTCAAGTGGAATTTCTTTACGTTTTCCCATGACTGAGCCGTATAATATAAATATGTAAGCCAAAACTTTTACAAATTCCTAAATAAAAAAAAATATTCGAGACAACTTAAAGACGCTTACAGTTTTGACTCAAATGAGGGAAATCAAATACAAGACTTATAAAAAAACAATACTGACAAACCAAAGTAATATGGATAAAAGTTTAAAGCCAAAAAAGGAAACAAAAGTAGAACATCACAATAAATTTCTCATCGATAATAAACTCTCATATCGTCAATATTATGAAAACAAACGGACTGGCAAAAATTCTAAGTTCATACTACTTTTATCTAAAACCTTAACCCTCAAGTTACCTGGAAAGGCTTGATTCTGTGTCATTATGAGCAAAAAATACTTTTTTCGAGGCAAAACTCCTGGAAAAATACATATTTCGAAATCCGAACGAAGTGTTTCCAAACTTTTGGCCGGCAGTGTAAATACTTATAATTAAAAAATTTTATCAATAAAGTTTTAATTTTTTATTATCTGATGTTCGGTGGCGAAACATTGGCCAATTCCATCTCAGATCATGCAGAGCTCCCCACACACCTGTCACCAAGCTACTCCAAAGTATTTTTTTATTGTTCTAGGTCAAAAATAAGAGGACCCGTATTTTTTCTTTTTTCTCTCAGATGCATAGTTCCGTCAATAATGCAATCGGAAAATGCACTGCTGAAAAGGGAAAATTGAGAAAATTTTTCCAATGAAATTTGGTTTCCTCAATATTTTTTTTATTTTTCGATACAATTAAATAATTTTTATGTCATCTATAGTAGAAACGAAGTTCTTCAAGTCTAATTTATCAAAAATATGAATGTATGCATTTTTCGGGAGAAAATGCATGTTTTCGAAAAAGTGCATCTTGGAGAAAAAATTGTGTATCTCAAAAAGGCCATAATTTTTTGCGCTCAAATTTTTTTTATATATTCTTAGTACCAATACCTTCAAATCCATTCGATCAAAATTTGCTGTTTTATCGTTATATCGCTTAAAAAAATTAAAAAAAAAAGTTTTACATTTTCAAGTCAAACGCGATAAATACATAGGTACAGCGAATGGAAATCAAAGCTGAGAAAGAAAGGGTGACGTTAAATTATCAACATTTGCTGATGCATATAGATTTTGCTGAGAATTGGTCTGTAATTTTGAAAAATCCAGTTCAAGGAAATCATTGGGTGAATAAACAGATTTCAATTTTCACTGCTGTTTGCTACATAGGCGGAATTACAAAGAGTTATACTGTAATTAGTGAAGACTTAAAACATGATTATTCTCATGCTGCGCATCCATGGATTGAAGTGAAAAAAGATGAAAAAAAAAAAGAAAAGTACTCATAAGAAGAAAAACGAAAATGTAAACAAGGGCAAGAAAGTGAAAGTTGTATCTAAAAAAGTGAAGAGAGTTGTAAAAGTAATCAACTCAAACAGAAAAAAATGATCGTGTAATTTTACATTTCTTGCAGACATGATTGAATAAAAGTGAGCTTTTTCTTTGAGTTACATGTTATTGTAGTTCAGTTATTAACCTACATAGTCGCTAACATGAATTCCTGAATGTATTTATCGCGTTTGACTTGAAAATGTAAAACTTTTTTTTTTAATTTTTTTAAGCGATATAACGAAAAAACAGCAAATTTTGATCGAATGGATTTGAAGGTATTGGTACTAAGAATATATAAAAAAAATTTGAGCGCAAAAAATTATGGCCTTTCGAGATACACAATTTTTTCTCCAAGATGCACTTTTTCGAAAACATGCATTTTCTCCCGAAAAATGCATACATTCTGATTTTTGATAAATTAGACTTGAAGAACTTCGTTTCTACTATAGATGACATAAAAATTATTTAATTGTATCGAAAAATAAAAAAAATATTGAGGAAACCAAATTTAATTGGAAAAATTTTCTCAATTTTCCCTTTTCAGCAGTGCATTTTCCGATTGCATTATTGACGGAACTATGCATCTAAGAGAAAAAAGAAAAAATACGGGTCCTCTTATTTTTGACCTAGAACAATAAAAAAATACTTTGGAGTAGCTTGGTGACAGGTGTGTGGGGAGCTCTGCATGATCTGAGATGGAATTGGCCCATTATCGTTCGAAAATTTGAAAAGAAAAGCATTTTTTTTCAAAAGTTAAATCACTTTAAAAATTATAATATAAGTTCTATAAACATTTTAGTTTTTTGGTTGTAATTAACATGTACTTTAGTATAGTATTAGTGGTTTTATTAGTATATTTTTATAAAATTTTCTAATATTTTATATAACTTAATAAAGCCAAAATTACTGTATAATATTTTATCGTAATAATCTATCTATTTATATCTTTTATTGTGTTTATTTATTCGTAGTTATACTTTCGTATAAAGCAAAGTTTAATTAATTTCTCTATTGAGGTATCAGTTAGTTTTTATTTTAAGGTTAGTTACTGATTAATTTTTCAAACATTTAATAATCTACTAAAATCTGCAGTAATCTTTCAATAGCATACATAACATATAGATACTAACTATCACATAACAGCTGATTACATGACTATCTTTTAGTCAATCAGATCACAAATAAACTGGCTTGAGTTTGTCAGATTCTCTTTTTTTATAAGAAGAAACTTAGTCATAAAAACTGTAATAGCGTCGGTGTGCAACGCCGATATATTCACTACTATTACCAATTATTTATAAAGGGGGAAGGCAAGGGAGACGGTGTATCGCTCCAAGCAAAGCAGGAAGGAGAACAGCGGGCAAATGATTTCACACACAACTCGTTGACAAACCGTTTATTACAAATGCACTACCTCGAGTGCCGGCGAAAGTACAAACACTTATTAACAATAACGCGCAAACTTAATCTAAACGAGATGACCGGCACGTTAGCGCCATGTCACCTCGTTAACCGGCTCAAACAATTACTTAAACTACACACTGCCGAAAACTACGCCGGCTCGGAAAAGCCTGGCGTAGCAACGCAAACCGTGAGAATCGCCGAGGAAAGGAAGAGATATATAGAGAGAGAGGAATCGGTGACCTGACCAAATTCGGGTGGACGTCGCTGTTGCTGGCAGCCTTGAAGGTGTCCCACCGGTGGCTAGGCTGGAAAACCCCTAGCTGCTGCGTGGCCGGCGACCTGGCAGAAAAGGCTGTCGGGTGTTGCCTCGATGACAGCTTCTTGCAGGGCAACTGCTGCGTCGTTGGCAAAGGAAGTCCCGTCCGGCCGATCTGCTGAGGAATGCTGACTTCTTCCGGACAAAGGGCAGGCAGCGATGGACACCAACCAGCTCGTACGACTCGTAAGACTGATTGCTGCCGCGCGCGTCGCGTAACTCTCTGTCGCGAGTGCATGAGAGCCGGCTTCTCACGCCTTCTCCCACCACTCGCCTCCTAATCGGCGGCACGCGGCAATGCCGGTCGCGACAAGTGCCGCGCGCCAAGCCCAACTTAGACTATAGTTTTTCTCTCTCTTTCTCTCTCTCTCGCACTCTCAATACTCGAACGCGTCGTCGCGTCCACGGCTTCTCCTT